CTACTACTACTACTACTACTACTACTACTACTACTACTACTACTACTACTACTACTACTACTATCTACTACTACTACCACCACCACTACCTACAGTCCAACCTACTACCTACTACCTACTACCTACTACGGGGGCGTCAGGCTGTCGAAAAATCCGCGCGGAGAGAGAAACCGTAGATTGAAACCAACACAAGCAATACTAACCAAAACAATCCACAAAACACGTCGGCAGGCCGGCGGATTTATTAGAGCCTTGTTATCTAACCATTTGGATCCGGCGATCCACCACGACCCTGTTTGGCACGGCGCACACGGGTTTGCCTTGGGTCCCGCAGGGCGAACCGGCCCCGTCCCGGGGAGAACACGGGGCGAGTCTGGTGGTTTGCAGTTTGGTCCAAAACATCTAGACATAGCAGGCTTTTTGCCATCTGACAAGAGACCTGGATGCTAAGATCAGCACTCCCAGGACAAAGTGCTGCGCTTGTCACAAAATCTGCATTTCCAGCCATCACAGCACTAAATAGATCCCCAATGAAAACAACATATTCTTAACGTATTTCCGGGCCCCGTCAAGAAAAATCGCGCAGGAGCCCAGAAAAGGATCCGCATAAAAGCTAAGTGATCGCCACACAAATCAACGTGCAGTTTGTGTTATTACTGTTGCTGCTGTTGTTGCTGCTGCTGGTGCTGATGCTGGTGGTGTTGCTGTTGCTGTTGCTGTTGATGTGGTTGCTGTGGTTGTTGTGGTTGTGGTTGTGGTTGTTGTTGCTGGTGTTGTTGTTGTTGGTACAAACAAAAACTGCAACCCCGTTACACCACATCTTCTTTCTTTTTCTCTACAAGGGGGTAGAAACAAATTCTGGGACCCCGTCGTTGTTTTTTGACCCCCCCCCAAAACAACCAGACAACAAGCACTTTACTACTACTACTACTACTACCACTACTACTACTACTACTACTACTACACCCCAATGGCAGTGTAGTCGATGTGGACAGTCCGCGGGGGGGCGTGTGTGGAGGCGGAGGGGATGGAAACCCGGTTCTCAATCTATGCACTGAAAATCAGTCTTTTCTTGGAGACTCCTGGAAGTTGTTGGATTCCAATGGAACAATATGGTCGATTTAAACGCCTTCTTAGGGTTTATGAAACTCGTCTGAGGGTCATGCTACTGGTGATGCTTATTGTAACTGGTTAAGTAAACCCTGCAAAACTTCTACTTAGAACCTCTACCACATCCTAGAAACAAAAACTGCGACCCCGTGGTTGTGTTTTGGACCCCCCCCTTCCAAAAGATGTTGTTGTCTCTACCCCCCCCTAGAAACAAAATCTGCGACCCCGCTGTTGTTTTTTGACCCCCCAAAAAAAAACAACACAACAAAAAACAAGAAGCAGACCAACCAAGACTTGAGTACCACGACGACAAGAAGTCCAGCTACTAACATCTCTCCAAACCTTCGACCCTATCCCTAACAGAATCCCATTGGAATCCCTGACTTGCAACTTGTGACAACTATGTTGGGCTGCTGTTTTTGTCTCTACCTTGTTGTTGTTGTTGTTGTTGTTTCAGGGCAAGCTTAGTTCATGCGTGTTTGCCCATTCATATACGAGCGTTGTTTTACCACACCGGAAAAAACCCAAACGTTTGGTGACTCCGATGTGTGCCTTGCTTCCCGGTCCGTAAACGTGGGTTTGCACAGAATGTGTGAGTGTCGGGTGTTCATGTGCATTTCCCGCAAATGGGGTCTTCGGGAGTTTTCAACAAAAACACAAACGAAAAGGAACGGCTCCAAGCTTGATGAGCAGACTAGAGTAGAGACGAGCGTTGGCAGGATCGTTGGATGGTGAAGGGCTGGGAGCTGAGTGATTTCCGGGCAAAAAGGGCCTGGAAGCAGGGTACAAAAAACATTGTCTTGACCCCAGGGCTCCTGGCCCATATCCTCAGAAAGTGGTTCTATAGACAGTTGGAACCCCCAGGCACTTGGACCCCGCCTGGTTATACTATTCAGCCCTCACATGGTTCCATGTTTTTGTCTTCCAGGGCTTACCTACCAGCCCAGCGAGTCAGTCGTGCGGAGTAGCTCGGGTTCTGCGTTCGCACCAGCCTTCGGGGCCATGTCTTTTCATCGTAATTTTATAAGGAAACATCGATCAAACTGTGGGAACCCCTTTACGTGTCCGACGCTTTTCATAAAGCTGTGGCCAATGAGTCAGAACCCCCCTTTTTCCATGTTGGAAACGTCAGGGAGATTCTTTGAGAAGGGTCTCTTTTGAACGGGGGTCGCGTCCATGGTCAAGCATCGGTGGTGTCATGTCCATCGTTGTCGCTCTATATAAAAGTGTTTGTCGTTAAGATGCTATGAGCAAAACATCACAGTTCATCACATGTTTTGTTTGTTCACCGAGTATGGTAAGGGCTTGGGGGTGTCCCAATACTTGTAATAGTCGGTAAGCAATTATCACTATGCTAAAATAATCTAAAAGACCTTTATTACGCACCACCCATCAAAATAATAGTAATAGTAATAATAACAATAATAATCATCATCATCCACTGCTACAGGGAATGGAATATACCCAAGTAAGAACTGTCTAGCTTAGCTTTTCGTTGCCATCGCAATCCAGAAGAAAGAGTGTGGGTTCGATCTCCACAATGATGTACAACAATTCATGCTCTTGCAGATGTAGTCCAGTAAGAGTGTGTGGTTCGCACCGGGCATGCCATTTCGCTGGTTCACAACAAGGCACGATGCCAGTGCTCGCGCTGTGGCCATCGCGGTGGGAGTTGTTTTTCGTTTTTTGTTATTTTTCTCGGAGGGGTCTGACATGTTTTGGGCTCGCGAGTTCTTCAGCGGGAGGCGTGTATGTTCATAGGGAGACACCCTTTCTCGGCCCTGAAACTGGGTCAACTTTGTCCCACCCACATACACACACACTGAAACTGAAGGAAGCGTAGCATTTTGACGGCTCCACTAGATCATTCTGCATATTGGAAACATGTCATACGTTTTGTGAGGTCATGTGATGGCTTTCTACAGTTTAGAGAGCCGGTGAGGGCATCCTGGGGTGCTATTTGCGAAACAGTTGGTGTAGGACTGAGGGATATCTCCCAATCAATATGTCTTTTTCAGGGCGGGTCTCGAGAAGCTACCGGCCAGGGGCAATATGCCTGATTAGTTTCCTGATTAGCAAGGTGAATTGGATCATGCATAGGGCTTGCACCATCTCAGCAAAATGATCCCGGCCTGATGTAAATGGGCTAAAAAGAACACCAGCCATGCTCAGCCAGTGTTTTTTCCGGCTTAGCCATGCTCAGCTGAGCATGTGACTGTAAAAGCTTCACCGGTTGGAATGCACCTCGCTTCTGACTCCTTGGACACAGGGGACTTTGACGCAGGACCAACAAACCCGCGGACGTCGGCCCAAACACGTGGGCCGGAAGAAACCCCATGTAATATCGTCGTATTATATTCCAATAGTACTTAGCAGTAATTATATATAATTTATATAATAAGTTATTCAATCAATGTTAATTAAGCTATCTTAAGATGATGTCATCGCCTCTCAGACCGCCCCTCTCAAACACCTGAAAATCATCCTCCCTCCCCCAAACCAGCCGCGGAACCGCCGCGCCGACGCCGGAGGCCGCGGGGCCGGAGACCTGCACCTTTCGCTATGACCTCACGCCCAACGACGACGCCGAGGCCACCTTCAGGAGCGGAAGCCGTGCCACCGGGACCGGAGAACCGGACCGGAGCAAACGTCCGTTGAAAGGCCATGGCGGCAGGTGAAGAAGACCGGGCATTCAGGTCAGCATGCAAACACACGCAAACTGAATCAAACCGAACATGATGTAAAAAAAGAAAACCCTAATTGTTCTTTTAATGTTTCCTGAAATGGTGGCAACAGTTTTGAGTGCTTGTGTTGAAGATCACTTTTTCTTGAAGCGGCACTTCGTCCACGAAACTACAAGAAAAACTGTAGTTTTACCAAACAGCACGTTTTTCACACCGGTGGACCCAGGAATCAATCTTCCTATATGGAGATGCCGACCACTTGGGTGGGGGAGGTCACCATTGTTCCTTTAGGCTGAAGTCCTGAAGGCTCCCACATGGTCTTCAGGAACGCCTACTTATAGCTCTTGCACACCCATGGTGAACAGCTTCTGAATTTTATATGTGTTCATAGGTTTTTCAGCCTGTTGCAGGGATTGGCAGTTCCCACCATGGCAGTTGCCAAGAACCAACCCAGCTCATGTTCAACCCAAGCACTCCATGATACTGGTATGTTCTGCCTATTTGGGGTGGTTGGTTTCAGGGGTCAGTGAATGACTAGATGCGATCATGGAGTCCTTTGGGTATCATCGAATGGGATCAAGTGTGAGCAGCTGCAGGAACATTCGAAGACGGATTGAATTGGAGATGAGTGACGGCTGTGTGGTGTGAAGCTCAGACCCTGCAGAACATTCGTTGGACTGCACACACTCGTTTGTTTAAGACGTGTGTTCGAGTGGTTTGCTCAAACACACCATGTAGAAGTTGGGGTTACACATCAGTTGTTTTGTTCTGAATGACATTGTGTTGGGTGATGGGTTGATCTATCCAATGGAATCCAGGTGGGGGGGTTTGTTTGAAGCTGGCCGAGATGCAGGTGCAGATCAGTCTTCAAATGGTGAGGTTGGCGCGACTGGAGGAAAGAAGTAGTAACCAGTTCTTGGAGCAATACATAGCAATACTATATTGTTGATGATGTCCTTGGAATTCTATGGAATTCTAGCAGTTTTGTATTCTGAAGGTTAGCAACGGGGCCATTGGACTGTCAAAAATCAGTTTTAACTTTAAACCCCTATATGGTTCCTACGCAAATCTGAGAGAAATTAAGCGAATCAGTTAAGTTATATATCCCATACTTTTCATGTCGCTTTGTGCCCCTTGTGCCATCACTGCCAGGCGACCTGCGCAGAGATAGGCCTTCTCACTCCGGCTTCGGATGAAAAAGAGACCTGCAGCCACTGCAGCCTGCACAGCATGAGATGCTCCGCGGTTGCCAGGGTTGCACAGCATAGCGATTTTTTAAATGTGTTTTTGATCTTCCCTCTTGAAGCACCTTCCCAGTCAGACGCCCCTGTTGCACATCATTTGGTGGAGCCCAACACTGTGGTAATGGCCGCTCACGGACGAGCCGGAACGCCCCACCCCAGCTGTTCGCGCAGCTACGAGATGGCTCCCGGCCGCGGAAATGATCGCGGTTTCGAGGTGTACATATAGTGAAGATATGTGAAGATGAGACGCCTCGGGAATCCACTCCGAGTTCAACAACGGTGGAAATGGCAGCGTACACTTTTTCATACAGAATCGAGACGAACCAGATCTGAGCTTTGTTTGCCGTAGGTGGAGCTGCTAACATGTGTTTGAATGATCCTGAATGAAGCTAAACATGCCGGTAACATGGCTCAGACAACAATCACAAGCTGTTGGAGACCGCAGCCCCTTGGAGATTTGGGCATTAAAGTTTCAGCAGATGTTTGTCATACCACCCGGCCGACTCTATAGAAAGGTTGCATGCACAAGGATTTGTCGCATGGAATCACTGGATGAGGACAGTGCCTTCGTGCCATGGGAAGCCCGGGATGCTCAGCTTGTGTGTGTGAAATAGACCAAAATGATGCAAAATGGAAAGTAAATGGGTTTGAAGAGCCTCAGGAGATGGGGATGGGCGCTGCTCAGAAACGAGCCAACAAAGAAACCGAACAGATGACCTGGGATGTGGACCGAATAGTGGCGACTGCGGACCTGGGTAGTGACTAGTGTTTGGACCACTGTCGACGTCCATGCCGTAATCAATAAAGCCACCCATTTGAAGTGGAGGCGGGTTTTACATGGTTTTACAATCAAAGGTCTACAATGGTTAAGACTCCATGAAGCAGTGGAACTCTCCAAGATCAAGCGTTGGACACGTTCGTCACTGACACAACTGGGGACAATGGTCATTAGATGTCGTTTCGACTGTCCCCAATGAAAAGCAATTCTTGGGGATTGGTTACCCCATGTTGGCCTGGCTACCCGATGTCGGCTGGTTGTCGACTCGTTGTCCATTGCCTCCTGAGGTACCAATTGAAAATCTCGAAGGGGCAGCTCGGTGGTCCACTTGCACCAGCCTTTCTATCATACTGAACACACTTGGAGGCCCCCAAACCCAGAGAGAGAGAGAGAGAGTTCTCATGGTCCAAACCATCCTGGGAGAGGCAAACTCTTTGCATGGACTCAAGGTGCAACTCAGGACGACGAAACAACCCAACACCATCCAAGTCGGCGGGACGGACAGACACCTGGAAGGAACCTCCTTCCGTCCTATTTAATAAGGTTTTTTGGGGGGCTCCCAAAGCCATTTCATCGTCAGAGCCTCCGGATCGAACTTCGTCACGTCAAGGCCAATGTTCTGCTACCCTGGCGCACGACGAGTCGCCCTCCACAGGAGCGCTGCTTCGCACGAGTCGAAGACCAAGTCAATGGTGTGTTCCGGCTTTGGCAGTTCCATCCTGAAGGTCAAAGGACCATGGACCTTGTTCTTCAAAGTGACCCGAATTGAGCCAGTTATTTCCCAAATGGTTTGGTCACCTGTTTGCCTCTCAAGGGTCACTTAACAACCCTCAAAAGTTTGAAGAAGCTGGGAATTGTTGGTGAATAATTTGCCGATTTTCTACCTTTGTGGTCCCGTGTTTTGCGAACACGTGAGGTTTCCCAATACTGAGCCTTCCAACAAAAAGGACATGGTCACCGTGAACACCTGGTTTTAGTAGCGTGAAAATGCATGACATCAGAATGTCAAACAAGTTAATAAATATAGTGTGGTTTTGTGGCGTCAGCATCCATTCATGGGGATATATTATGGGGATTGTTTTTTTGTTCAATGCTTGGTTTCATCTCGCCGGAGCACGCGCTGAAAAACGGACCACCAGGCTGTGCGCGGCTTCAGCGCATCGGGCGCGGGCACCTGGGAGGGTCACAGAATGGCAGGGGCTTAGGGGTACCGTCAGAGGTGGTAAGGGGCGGAGGTTTGTTTAATTCACCACGAAAGAGTATCAAAGAACCCTAGCTTTTCCCCAAACTCTCTCCAGACACTCCAATGCATTTTTTTTATTGCCGCTAGTTTAATTAGATATATAATGTCATTGTTGGTATTATGACGTATTCCATCCATGAAGTTTATTGTATAACTCTGGTGGTTTTCCTAAGCACCAAGACTTAGCACATCAAGAACCTTTGGGGTGATGTTTCGCACTCAAACAAAATCGGAGCCCTTTACTTACCTTTTTGTAGCCAACAGATGCATTTGGTTTCACCCCTTCAGCCCTTTTTGGTTTCTGGTTTTCAAGCAAGTCATTTCCCCCTTAAGACAGTCTGAGCAACCCCTCTACACTTAAGACACCAACAGCGCCTTCTTTGCCACGTACCGTACGTGGCTCTCCATTGACCAGGTCAATCGTTTCTGCGGGTTCTGCACCGCAGAAGGTGTGTTGATCCCTTGGCATCCGGCAGTTGGAATTGCTGGCGTGGTCTCAGTTCTGTTCTGATCACGTCCATTTCCTTTGGGATCCGTCCTGGTCGTCGCGGTCGTCGCGGTCGTCGCCGGAGAGTTGATGTGCACCCTGGCACCCTGGCACTCATATGGCGCCATATGGCGCTATCCCAGACACTCCACGTATGCCGTATATGCCGACATTGACCCGCAAAACCATCCCAATGTAGGCATATATGGTATACATGGAGTGTCTGGGTATAGCACGTTTTTTTGTTGCGATACCGATAGAGTACCATCTTCAAGTCTGTCGTACTGCGTCACAGTGGTGACGGGTGCAATTGGGCTCATTCGTCACAGGGGCTTAGATTTTGCTGCTGGACGTCGTCCGCGCCAATTGCCAAGATGATGTCAAATCACAACCCAGACACTCCATGTATGCCATATATGCCTACATTGACCCCTGAAACCACCCCAATGTAGGCGTATATGGCACACATGGAGTGTCTGGGCAATGCTTAGTAAGGAATGAGGAAATGAGCCCGGATAGAGATTCCTCTGGATCCACTACTTTTCGCACCAGTCAGCTTTTTGCTTGCGTGCACAGCAATGCAGCAAAAATCTGGAAGCCATGCTTTTGGACGAGAACACATAATTTGAGTTTACAAACAGTTACATCCTCTTAGGACTCTTGGCTTCTTTTTAGCAAACACAAATGCAGACTTGACCGTTTTAGGTCTCAAGGGGTCGTAAGGTTTGTTAGAACTTGAACCAGCTAGTTGCAAGATCTGAGGTTTGTTTTTGAATACAACTTGAGGGATGCCTTTTTACCTCTCTCCCAGGCACTGTGAGGACCGCGAAGATGCGCTTCCATCGGGGTGGGGTCGATCGGGTGCAATGGGCACACTGCCAAGCCTGAAATGGACCAGAAGATCACGAGGCTCCAGCAGGGTAGTGGTCCCCAATCAAAACCTGTCCCTCTCTCTATGACTCATCGTCATCACTGGTTGCCAATGTATGCTGAATCTGTCTCCTGGGTACACCGTCAATACTACCGGCAATACCAATCTCCACCCCTTGGTACCACGAAAACTGCTCGCAGCACCACAGGAGGAATGCGATCCTTGCAGCGACAGCCCCACGAGCACCCTTCCTGCAGAGCACCCGCTGCTCCAACGGATGCAGCAGGCGCAGCACATGCTGTGCGGCACTAGCTCGCAGCATTGCGTGGTTAAGAAAAACACATGAAGAACCAAAGCAGCTCGAGTACAGTACCTTCTCATAAGTTTCTTATAGACCATGTTAAAGCCTCTAAACTCATCCCAAGTTAAGCTCCGGACTGAAGAGTAGGAGCCGTTGGAGCCCAATTTCGGGGCAGATGATCAAATACACCGCAGCAACCCCGGCTGACTCGTCGGTCCGCTTCATCGTAGGTGTCGTGACGGTGTCGTCTCATGGTTCCAGAAACCTCAGGTGACGAGTCTCGTGGGGGTCACTCTGTGGGGAGTAGACTCCACGGCACCATGGACGTCGACTGATGTGGTGGTGACCAATATAGTTGTATGGTTAGTCCCGGTGAGTCATCTTTGGGAGGAGAACGTCGTGGATCTTCGTTTGGTGTTTATTTTGGGCTGCAACTTGGGGGTCTTTGAGTGTGCGGCATAGTATGGAGATGTATGGAGATTCCGCAAACCGCACCAATCCCTACAGATATATTGTATTAATTAGAGGCCAACTTCGAAGCGCTTTTCCGCCGCGATGATGGCCGTGCCAGGAGTTGGATGGCTCCAACACCACGCCACGCCACTGGCTTTAAGAAGAGAACATTCGATGGCTTAAGCACAAGTTGTTTTTTTGAGGCCAACCCGGACAGTCTATTGACCCATCAGTTGGGGTGTGTTTTCAGGGTTGAAGGTTGGCATATATATATATATGACTTGTCTGGTTTGGGCAAGAATCCATCAACACTTAGAGGTCCCTGCTTTCTCAGCAGATTTGTATCCCATATTGTCATACATGTTGATCCTCACAATCTCAGTGGCCCACCAAGTGGATCAGGTACTGGTACGGTGTGTTTGTTACAGTGGCTTTCTTAGAGCAGGACCAAGAGGGAGGAATTCCAGAAGTTCTGTCTGTGAAAGAAGTTCTGACACCAGCCAGGACCTTTCCCCAGCTGAGCTCCAGGAGGGCAGCCCTTTCTTTGGAGACCGACCGAGGCACACCACGTGGACCTGCACCTCCCTGGGCACTGGAGCATGCGGAGCAGCGTGCAGCTTGGACGCGGAGGTGAAGGTTCGAGGAGGATGGTTGATATCATTTGATATCAGACCTCAGTGTGATTCACCATGGGTCTAGAGTGATCAACCATGATCTTGACCTTTTTTGAGGGTGAGGGGGGTGGAGGGATGCGCCGGTATGCTTGGCGTTGTTGGTTTCTCTTTGTTTAAATCTGATGTTGTTTCGATCATCGCCATGTGAA